ACTCAAGACCTTGAGCAGGGAGGATAGGCTCCACCTTAGGGAAAGTCTTCTCAAGCCTGGGGAAGGTGTGATGAGGCCCTAGTGTCTCTTAGTATAAAATGAAACCCAGCCTCCAGTGGGTTTGGAGCCACACTGTTCATGAGTTAGAAGGATGCTTCCAGTGTCTGCCTCCCAGAACACTGGTCCCCTGGACTATTCATCCATTACTATATTAGTACCACTCCACTCAGGAAGTACAAATGCAGCAGTCTGGGTGTCTCATGTAACCAGGGTTCGCCCCATTTTAGAACACCCCTGGTAACTTGAGTCCCAGCAGTAATTCTCTTCCCTTCCTTCCTCTTCCATTTCCTCCCTCCTGGTGTGTACACAGCCTCTGAGAGCAAGTAGGTTTCCTCTAACTAGTGCTGAACTTGTGAGGAAACTTATGAACATTTGAAAATGATAGCATTGTGGTTAAGAGAGATATCCTGGAAATATATGATCCACATGTAAACACTGGTCAGTTCCCATATTGGCTGTGTGATTCTGAACAAGTTACTTCTTTGTGAGTCAGTCACCTCTTCTGGTAGAAAAGGAGATAATAAAAAACCTGCCTCAGGGGATTTGGGGACAGAACAAGTGAAATAATTGATGTTGAGTACTTAAAACGTAGTAAGAGCTCTGGACTTGTTTTGTGTTGCAAAGTTCAGAGATATCACATGGCTTGGCAGGAAGGGATGTGGGCAAGCATATAGCAAAATATGTGCTGTGAACTCTCCATGCTGGAGAGAGAGAGAGAGAGAGAGAGAGAGAGAGAGAGAGAGAGAGAGTGAGAATGAACTAAGATGGAAATGAAGCTCAAGATGAGGAACAAAGACATCAGAGGGTAGCCTTTGGGGTACTCAGAGAGTGTGATCACTTCCATGACCAACTGGGTGTAAGAACTCTGTAGACTGACTTCCTGTGACAAAGCAAGCCTTCTCTAGTGACCCTTGCCTCCCCACATAGCATCTTTCTGAGGCTACCTGGCAAAGGATGAATGGACTTGGAAAGGTCCAGAAATTTTGTTCCAGTTGATCATAGCCCAGGGACATGCTTAGTGTTTTGTTTTACTTCTACTTTCCTGGTTAGTATTTATTAAGGTCAACCTTTTGAATAGACACTAGATTCTTTTGACTCTTCCTGCCCTGTTGAACTTCTTAGACTATTCTTAGGTACAACAGACATGAAGAGTGGAAATGGAGTAGTTGAACTAGACAGTTGGGCAGTGGGGCCTTGGAAGAAGATGGTAAAGATGAGTCCTATATGCCAACTAGTGTCATTACTCACTTGGCACTTACAAAGTTCTCAGTGAATGCTTATGGAATGAGACCATGGGTCCCTATTACACCGATGGCCAATGTGTAAGTCAGCCACTGTATTCCATTTCCTCCCTTTCTCCCTCTCCCTTTTTTTACTCCTCCCTCTCCCAGAAGGATACTGGACTTGAAATAGGACCTCAGCAAATCCAGTGTGGAATTGGGGGGCATTGGGAGTGACATCATTACATGCCCTTCACACCAAGGATGCTACTCCTCTATCCTACAGAAAACTGAAATGAAGGACAAAGGTTTAGCAAGGACACCTTGTCTCTGACCATCCAGGTGGCCTTAACCATTCTCTCTACTTTCATAGCTCTCCATTTTATCATCTATGAAAGAGAGGTTTGCGACTAGGTGATTCCTTCCTAAAGACCTGTATTGGCAGGGGGTTGGAGAGATGGCTCAGCAGTTAAGAACACTGACTGTTCTTGCAGAAGACCCGGGTTCGAATAGCAGCCCCCACAAGGCAGCTAACAACTGTCCGTAACTCCAGTTCCAGGGGATCCGACAGCCTCTTCTGTCTTCCGCAGGCATTACACAATGTGGGTGCACTTATCTACATACAGGCATAATACTCATACACATAAAATAAAAATGATAAAAATAAATATTTGAAAAAAAAAGACCTATACTGGCCTTGACACAGTGGCCAGGAACAGCCTTGGGACTGGTGGAACCTGTCTGGATTCATCTGGAGCCTCACTTGCCCTATATGTGACAAAGTTGCCTGAATGGACAGACAGTCTTGGGTTAGAAAGGCTGAAAACAAACTTTGGTATCACAGGTCAGGCCTGGAGCATCAGTGAACTGCAGAACTGGGGAAATTATTTGCCTCTCCAAACTTCAGTTTCACCACCTCTAAAGTGGGGTGACTGTTATACCCACTTCTCACAGCTGTGGTGAGAGGAAAAGCACTTGCCTGGTATGTGCGAGGCCCTGGGTTCCATCCCAGGCCCCATCAAAACAGACTTTTTTGTTGGTAATGCACTTGGCCCAGTGCTCACTGCTATAATTTTACCAGTTATGCTGTAGAAGCCACAGAAACCTTTTAGCCATCCTCACTGTGGTCTCTATTGGCCTTCTTTGGTTTCTGTTTACCTGCTTGTCTGTCTGTCGCGTTCTGTTTTGCATCCTAGCATCAGGGCTTTGAGCAAGCAACAGTATCACTCACTGAAATTGCTTCTATTTTTATCTGCTCCCCCTTCTCAGGTTTTTATCCTGAATATCCTATTATTGTGCTATAAAAGACAGTTCATTGGTGGGAGGAATGCGTCTTTAACACTCTTCTTCTTAGGGAATAAATAATATCGTGTTTTCCTCCCAATTGAATACAGAAAGCCCTTCTGAGTCAGCAAGCATAGCTGTCATCTGAGGGAAAAGCCAGGAGCCTAATTCTGCTGGGAGTCGAGCTCATGCACAGGGAGCCTACAGACAGGTCTTCCTCTCTGAAATGTTTCCGCCACTACCGACGAACTGCTAAGGAAGCCAGGTGCAGGTCACGGAAGGCCTTGTCCTTGCAGTTAACGTTGAAGGATTCAAAAGACTTAATCCCTATCCCAAGAAGCAACAATTAAACAACTAGAAAAAGATTAAAGTACATATTCAAAATCAAGCTTCTTCTTCGTGCTCTAGACTTAAAGATGGAAAATGCAGAATGTTCCAGGGTGGCGTCCTGTAGGGGAGGTTCCAGTGGGACCTTGAAGGAAAGCAGGATGGAATCCGTAGGCCAGAGTGAGGCAGAGCCTGGGGTCCTGGGAGTAGCAATTACAGGCCTGAGGAGTGCTACAGGAGACAAGAAGGGAGAGGCCTCTTGGCATGCTAGGGCAGTGAGAGTGTGCCTAGGTTGTGAGTGGGCAGCCTTGGGGCTTGGCTTGGAACTTAATAATAGGGAAGCACGTGGGTCTGAGGTCTGAAATGAAGCACAGGGAGACTCTTCTGTGCTTCTTCCTCCCACAGGGCTGCCTGACTTACAGCGCTCTCTCTCTCTCTCTCTCTCTCTCTCTCTCTCTCTCTCTCTCTCTCTCTCTGCTTTTTCTCTCTCTCTCTCTCTCTCTCTGTCTCTCTCTTCTTTTATCAATGTTTGCTCTCACTCTCTTGCTCTTTCTGTCTCTCTCTTCTTTGATCAACTTCTTTCTCCTCTGAGTGTACCTCCTCTTCTGCCTTGAGGACACTGAGCACTGAATTTAGGGCTGGCCTAAGGAATCTAGGCTGATCTCATCTCAAGAGCCACAGCTTTGTGACTTCCTCAAGGACTCTTTCCAAATGAGGACACAGCACAGACCGTGGGAAGGAGGGTGTTGGCTTACCTTTGGGGGCACCACTCAGTCTACTACTACATGTTCTCTGAGAATGTAGTACAGAAAAAGGAGACAGACCTGGTCTGGAAAAGAGAAACCGTCGGTGGGGTTGTCTGGAGGAATGCTTTGCCACCTGGCCATTTTCACATACCGAGTTCAGTTTTGCATGTCTCGTGTGCTGAGTGCTGTGCTTATATCTTGTATAGTATTAAGTCCCTGAAGCACCACAAGAAAGGGTTCTCTCAACTCCAGCTTCCAAGAGTCAGGAGCCTGCCTGCTTTCCATGTCCTACTTCCCGGTCTCTGGTAGTCCTGTCCACTGTTGTCTTGAGTCTCACTTCCTGCTCTCATTCACCTTTAATACAAACCAGTGTTTGGAGCAGCAGGATCTTGCTATACGTGCGACATATCACCAGGTGTCAGATAAAAAAGGGAACTGTGTTGGGCTCCTGAAGCCAGCAGGAGATCTGGGAGGTTAAGAGCCTAAGAGGTCAGAGCCGTGTCCCCACCTTGGAGTCCTGGCTATACTACTTACCTCTGTTGTGACCTTGCACAGTCACCTTGTTTTCCATACCTCGGTGATCTCATCTGTAAAATGGGCACCACAGTGGTACTTAACTCTTGGAAGAGTTTTAATTGAAGACTCTCTCTCTCTCTCTCTCTCTCTCTCTCTCTCTCTCTCTCTCAAAAGTAAGTTACCCCCCACAAAATGGCTTCTTTCTGTGCCTGTGTGGCTGAAATGTTAGCACCAAAGCCTTCATAATATCCTTGTCTTCGTCAAGAACAGGGAGCCAGCTAAGCCTGGTGGCACAAGCCTGCCTACAGTCTCAGCCACTTGGGAGGCCAAGGCAGGGTATCAAAAGGTCAAGGCATGTCTGAGCTACAGAGTTCAAGGCCAGGCAGAGTGAGTCTCTGTCTCAAAATTAAAAATTCAGAAAGGGCTGGGAATGCAGTTCAGTGGAGGAGCGCTTGTCTGGCGTGTGCAAGACCCTGGGTTTACTATCCGGCAATGAAAAAAACCCCAAATACACAGAGGGCACTGCAACACAGAAGCAGTAAATCCCAACCGTTTCGGTGTTCACCACTGGAACTGACTTGGGATTGCCCTCAAAGGCTGGTCTCTTTTCTCTTTTCAGTCTTTGCCAAGAATGCTCACTTAGGAAAGTACTCAAAGGGAGGGAAGCACAAGCTCTGAAGCAGCTGTACGTCAAGGCCCCTGCGGGCCAGCCAGGGCCCAGGGTGCTCACACCACACCTGGGACTGTTGTAAGGACCAGGGGCCCTAAGAGAAGGTGACCAAATGGGGCTGTAGCATCCTTGTCGCACGGAGACACTCACAGCCTGTCGTCTTCCCCACAGGCTGATGCTGCTACCAGCTTCCTGAGGGCCGCACGCTCAGGTAACCTGGACAAGGCTCTGGACCACCTGCGCAATGGAGTGGACATTAATACCTGTAACCAGGTAGGTGGGTGGAGGCAGGGCATTCTCTCTGAGGAGTGGCTCCTGCCTGGTATTGTGTCCTGAGAACTTTGGGACTGCCCTCCTAGACCCTCCCCAGAGCCCCAGAAGTTCCTGTGACTTCTGCCTGCTGAGACTCACCCTGTATTAACATCCCTCTGGCCCTGGGCCCCACAGAAAGCCTGCCTCCATCTTGCAGTGGGACTGGCTCAGACCAGGTCAGTGCAGTCTCTTCCCTTAGAAGTTGCTGTGGATCCTGCTGTTGCCTTAGATGTGGCCTTTGACTGTGAGTGGAAGAAGAGCCTTTGAAGGCTGGATCAATGGGATATAAATCCCCTTTGCTGCCCAGCAGCCTTTATGAGCTAAGAAAGAAACAAGTCTTGGAGGAGGCTACCCACTGCTTTCAAAGTCTAGAGACTTGATTCCTCTGGGAACCTCCCAGAAGTGGAATCCACAGTGTCCTTCTGTGATTGGCTTCCGTTGTACAGCATGGTACCCTCACGGTTCTTCCCTGTGGTAGAGGCTTGGTTGGTATCCTTAGGCCAGCAGCAACAAGTCCCCAGAATTGCGTTGAGTGTTCATGTCCGCATGCCTCTGTCCCCTACTCACTCCTTGTTTTCTTGCTGTTACTGGTAAGATGCAGCTCCACCCAGCTTTGCCTCATCCGGGTCCCTGTCTCTCCACACTCACCTATGCTGGCCATTCTTAATGGAATGAGCTAAAAGAGCTGAAGTGGCCAGGACTACAACTGTGGGCCATGGTAACGAGGGTAGAAAGCCCCAGCTCAGCCATCTCTAGTCCACAAGATGGCAGTTGATGGCTCAGCAGATAAAGATACTTGCTGCAAAAGCCTGGTGACCTGAATTCGATCCCCGGAACACTTGTAGGAGGAAGATAGCAGACTCCACAAAGGTGTCCTCTGCCCACACATCATTCACACACAAATAATAAAGAGAAATAAATTGTTTTTTAAAAGATGCTCAGTTGGACACCCTGGCTGCTGTATGACTGACACAAACCACCTGGGACAGGGGACAGATAACGAGGCTGATGTACAGACCAGGCAGCACGCACAGGGGTGTGGATAAGGGGGAGATGGTGGGGTGGGACGGCACCCCGTAGTCAGCCTGTCCCTTGTTGTTCCTGTCCACTGCAACAACCACAGAGAAGTAAATGTCCCAGTTGTCAGCTCAGAAGCACCCTGAAGACTTTCCTGGTCCCACAGATTAAAATATTCACTTTCTCCTTTGAAATTTATCAAGAACTCTTTACCCTCAGGACTAGGGATTAAACTCAGGTCCTCTTCAGTGCTAAGCAAGTACTATACCATTGAGCTACATTCACGGCCTTACTTTCTTGAGACACAGTCGTGCAATATGCTTAAACTGGTCTTGAACTCATGACCTTCCTGCCTCAGCCTCCTGAGGGCTAGGATCCCAAATGTGACTACCATGCCTGGCTCTCAGGGCCTCTCCTACAGCCCAGTGGGGCCTGCTGTGCAGTCTGTCAGTGCTGAGTATGTCTATGGCCTTGCGGACTGAGCCATGTGGGGGTGGAGTCCCCAGCTGGCTGACTGCCTGCCCACAGGACCTGGCTCGGGGCCTTGGTGGCAGGTGCTCTGCTGATTGCTGGGACCCGTGGTGTTCTTCATGTCCCAGCTTCACATGTCCAGCTCCAGAGCCATCCAGAAGTCATTCTGTTCAGTCAAATGTCTTTGTGTGGAGACTACGGTGACTACAGCATACTTTCTGGGATAAGGTAATTGACTTTTCACAATTACCAGCTCGCCAGATGAAAAGACTGCAGTAGGCAAGCTGTCAGAACACCCTCTTGCTCATCCTCAGAGAGGCTGGGGCAACACGATGCCACTTGGGAGCAGAGGTTCCACGTGCTGGAACTGCAGCAGCGAAGAGCCTCCTGGGGTAGCCAGGATGCACCTGCAGTCCGAGTACTGAGCGCTGATGTATGATAGCTGCACACCATGCTAGACTAGCAATTGTAAAACATGCCCTGCCCTCGAAGAACTGAAGCCGGTAAGGGAGCCTGCCTGCAACTAGTAGGCCGCAGATGCAGTGATCTCCCTGGTACAGGAAAGGTTTTGATGCCTACCACACTTGCTTCCAGAGCTTCTGTGACATGCCAACTGAGCCCTTGCCTCCTTCCCCATTGTTTATAAATTGGGGGCTTTCACAGAAGGAGTGCAGGGGTCTTCGGGGCATCTGTGGGGTGCACGTGACGTGAAGGCAGCCCTCAAGCTTGGGTCCCCAGCCGTGGCCACTTTGAATACCCATGTCTCCTTGCAAGGTGGCCAGAGCAGGTTCTGTACAAGTGAGGCTGAGGGACGTGAAGAGTCTTCCAGAGGCAGCACCAGCAGGTGTCACACAGCCTAACTGTGCTCCACAGAACACACCTGAAACCTCAGCACAGAGGCCAGCATTCCTTGGAACCTCCTGCCTGAAGCTGGTTTCACTTTCTCTTCTTTCCGTTAAAGGGAGAAGAAAGGTAATTGACCAGTTCCATTGTAAAAAGATGTCCATTTGTAGCCAATAGAGCCATCTCCCACATTGCAGAGACCAGGGAAGGGCTAACTTCTTGAGGAATAATCTTGTCAGGAAAACACATCCTCCAATTCCACATAGTGGGTTGATGGCTGTGAGTTCACAATGTGAAGACCAGATGTGATCTTCTTACGAGAAACTTAAGGAAAGAGAGGGCTGTGTGTGCAGCAGGGTGCATGAATGGGCATTTGGTTCTGTGGGAAATTCTCCATGTAGCTAGCCACACTAGGACCTGATTACAAGGGAAAACAGAAACTCAGAAAAGAGGGCAGATGGGCATGAGAGCAGATACATGCAATTTTATATAATAGGGCCTTGAAAGAATAACCCGAGTTCATAGGAATGTGGTCCAGGGAGCCAGTCACTTTTTGAAAATTGGCTAGAACATGACAAAGACAGGTAGACTTGTTGCAAACAGTGGCCCTCAACCCCAGCCTTGAGGAGACTGACCTCTCTGGTGGAGGAAAGCTGAATTCAAAGCTGCCTTGATTGGAACAGACAAAGGATATAACAGTTTGTGGTAAACTTGTTCCTCACATTTTTAATTGTTTATAGGTATGTCTCCCATCCAAGTACTGACCAGGCCCAACCCTGCTTAGCTCTAAGATTGGGCACATTCTACAGCTGTAGACTGTGCACAGGCATGTGTCTGACTCTAATTTTGCTTTTAAATCTAACCGTAAGTTGAATATATATTTCTTGCTTAGAAGCCAAAACTGTGCAGAAGTGGATGGCATCTGAAAGTCTCCCCCACCTCCCCGACCCTGCACCGTGGTTGGAAGTTTGCTGGGAATATTTTCATGTTTTTCTCTGTGCTTGCAAAACATGCTTTATGTCTTCACTGGTTCCTCAGCTGTCGGTTGCTTGAGTCTTAGACTGCGAGAAAACCAGGATGGGAGCAGGGCTGTCATTCTCAAGATCTGCATCTTGAAACCCGGGGAGGTGACACAACAGGTTAGAGGTCTCACTGCTCCCCAGGCTTCCTCCTCTGACTCCACTGCCCCGTCTCCCCGAGAGATCTGGTTCTCTTGATTTTTTTAAAAGGAATACCAAGATCTCGGACATAGAATCTTTCTAGTACATGGGAGATATTCTTAGCTGCTGAGCTCAATTTCAGAGCCATTTTCTCATTAACCTGAACTCAAATGTTCTCCCCTCTGCTCCCAAGGGCCCCGCAACCTCAGCAATAGATTTGTTGCTGGGCAGTGGATTTGCTGCTGAGCCTGTGGGACTTTGGGGCACGGGGGCCACTGCAAGTTTCGAGCAATCATGGAGCAGAGGGAAGGTGATCTGAGGTTGATTGGCCTCCAGGCAGAGCTCAGAATTGTTGTGCGTTCCTTTCTGTTTTGAGATAATGAGGAGGATTAGTGGCTCTCCTCCTATCTAGTAAACTGTGACCCTTGAGAGCTACCTGGATAGAGAACTAAATTTAGATTGTAATAAAGCAAAGAAGGGAAAATGCTTAGAGCCAACTTTTCCTTTCTATCTGCCCCCCTCTCTAAGTTGGTGCAAGCCTCTTGGGTCCTTCTGTTCTGCAATTGTCTCTGTCTCTAGAAGGCAGGTTTGCAACAGAGAAAAGGCTGATTTCCTAACCCCCACCCTGACAGTTGCTCAGCTCCATCTGTCTCCTGAGTCTTTAGACTCCAAGGTGGAATATTTTTAGCAGGCTTTTCCGACCAAGTGGTCTCTGCAGAGCCATAAACCTGGAGTAGAAAAGGATCGCAAGTGTCAGGTCCTTCAGAGGAGGTGTCCCCTTTCAGCAAGCATCCATATAGAATTGAGACTACTCCTTTGACATGGTTTGATGACACACAGGAAAGGTTATATCTATCCTGAGTAGCATCAAAACTCTGATCCAGGCTGCCTTTCAAGGGTCTTGCAGAAATAAGCTGGGTGGATATGGTCAGATTTCCCAAAGAACTTGCAGTCCTGCTATCTGCAGTGACCCTAAGAGCACCTCAAGCCCAGCCAGCAGCCAGAGCTTAGAGTTGTCCTTTTCTTCCACAGTCTTTCCAAGTTCTTATAGCCATGCCCCCTCCTGTCATCGTCTTTAAAACTGTAATTGTAATGAACAGAAATATTGCAAGAACAGTACAAAGTATCCCTTCCTGTCCCTTGGCTGCATTCTCTGTGACTTTTTCTGTATGTTCTTCCTACCTATCCACCGTCTACCAGTCCATGATACCCTGTTGTCCTTAAACATTGCAGTGTGCACCACCCATGAGTAAGGATGCCTCTCATCTAACCTCCACAAGCCTCCCAGGCCAGCAGACTGGATGCACACCAACGTTCCATCCCAAGTCCCTCTCTGACCCTTCTCCCCCCTCTCATTCTTCCCTCCCTCTCTTTGCCTCTTTCTGTGTCCCCACCCCACCTTCTCCCTCTTACTCTCTAATATCAGGGTCTTTCCAGATACATGCTTAGCCTTGGGTCAGGTGATCTGGA